ACACCACCTACTTTTTCTGCGCTGAGTTCATTTTCTTTATGGCTTTTCTCATCATTTGCTTCATTGTTGCTGTACAATGTATACTAGGTCTTTATGATTTTCCTCTTTTTTATTTTGATAGGATGGCCCATTAATTTTTTAGGATATTACCCTCCAATTTTCCAAATTTTTGTGAAGTGTAACTCAGTTTAGTTTATCTGGAAAGTGACTTGATTTCTGCTCCATTTGTAGGTTTTGTAACTGTACTGTTTTTTCTGCTTTGTAATTGTCCTCATTTGCAGACACATACACCTACTTACCTATTTTTAGACTCTTTCATTCATTTTACTTTCTATACACTTATGAACTATGTTGGCCTATTGGTAAAGAGATGTACTGCCAACCTAAAGTTGCATGGTTTGAACCCACAAGCTGCTCCAAAGGAGGAAGATGGGCAATCTCCTTCCATGTGATTTACTGCTTCTGAAAGCCCACTGGAGGGTTCTGAGTCAATGGCATCTAACAACATGTTTTGATTTGTGGATTAGGTTCTGAATGATGTTGTCATGTGTGTCTATTTCAAGTTGTCTGTTTTTGTTGGTTCTAAATCAAAAGACGAATTGCATTGGGAAAGTCGACTGTCAGGGACTTCTCCAGAGTCTGCAGAACAATGATTTCAGACTAGTGACGAAGGTACACTTGATCCAGGCCATAGTCTTTGCAATTACTTGCTAAGGATCAGAAAGCTGGACAATGACTGGGGATGACAGAAGGAGAACTGATAACTTTGAACTATGGTGCTGGAGGAGAGTATTGAATATAGATTGCTAGGAGAACAAACAGATTCGTCCAAGAGAGGGTGAAACCAGGCTGTTCCTTGGAGGCAAGGATCCTGAAGATTCGTCTGACATACTTTGGACATGTTGCAAGGAGGGACCAGTCCTTGGAGAGGGACATCATCCTTGGGAAGGTGGAGGAACAGTGCAAAAGAGGAAGACACTGCATAAGTTAGATTGATTTAGTGACTGGGGTAATGGGGGTGTCAGAGACAATAATGTTGGCTCAGGATAGAGCTATCATACATAGGGTCACTATGAGTCACAAATTAGTCGACTGCACATAACAACAACAACAACAACAAAGTGCAAATATCCACCTTTAGTGTTTCTGGTAAAGTTGGTCTACTACATTCACAAATGTCCTTGATTTCTGTAGTTTCATCAGACTTGAGCATAATTTTGCTAGGTGGATAATTCATGGTTGTTGTTGCTTTGTACCATGTAGTCAGTTACAACTTACAGCCACGTTATGGACAGCAGATGGGACTTTGCTTTATCCTGCACCGTCCTCACCATCTCTGACATGCTCTAGCCCATTGTTGCAGTCACTATGCCAATCTATCTCATAGAGAGTCTTCCTCTCTTTCTCTGACTCTTCACATTTCCCAGAATGATATCTTTTCTTTCCCAAGGAGCAGGATTGGCATCCACTTCCTAAATAACATGCGTCCAGAAATTCTATGAACTTTGATAAATCTCGATAGTTGTTGAGGGACTTCAGGACTTTGTTTCATAGAGTCACTATGAGTCGTGCTCGACTCAAAGGCAATCAGCAACAACAATCCTTCCTAATAATATCCTCAAAGTATGTGAAATAAAATTTCACTATCCTTGCCTCTGAGGAGCATTCTGGTTGCACTTCCTCCAAGATATATTTGTTTATTCTCTTGGCAGTCCACCTGATATATAACAATCTTCTCCAACATTACAATTCAAAGGCATCAGTTCTTCTTCTATCATCCTTAGTCCTTGTCCAACTTTCAGATGCATTGAAAGCAGCTGAAAAGACCATGTCTTGGATCAGACGCCTTTAAAATTAATTTTAAACTGACATTTTTTCTTGTTAGAGGTCCTTGATAGTAGATTTTCCAATGTAACATGTCTTTTGATTTCTTGACTATCGTGATTGTGTATCCAAGTAAAATGAAATCATTGACAACTTTAATCTTTTCTCCAACTATCAGCATAATGCCTATTGGTTCAGCGGTCAGGATTTTTGTTTTTTTGATGCTGAAATGTAATCCATATAGAAGACCGTAGTCTTTGATCTTCTCCAGTAAGTGCTTCAAGTCGTCTCTTTATATCAAGTTGCATCTTCCCCATAGTACATGTTGTTGATGAGTCTTCCTCCAATTACTAAGTCATATTTTCTTCTAATTGTCCAGATGCTTAAATTATTTTCTCAGCAAATAGAATGAATAGTTCTGAGAAAAGAAACAGACTTTACACAGACTTTTCCTAATTTTAAATCATATAATGCTCCATTGCTCTGTTTGCACAATAGCCTCTTCTTGTTCTAGGTATAGGTTTCACATGAGCACAACTAAGTATTCTGGGTTTCCCATTCTTCTTAATGTGCCATAATTTGTTATGACCCACACACAGAAAATACCTTTTCATAGTCAATAAAGCACAAATAGACATTCTTTTAGTATCTTTTGCATTCAGTTAGGATCCATTTGACATCAGCATTGATATTCTTAATGCTACAACTTGTTCTAAATCCAGTCTGATCATCTGGCAGTTCTCTGTCAATGTACTGTTCTAGATGTCTTTAAAATAATCTTAAGCACTATTTTGCTTGCATGTGATATTGATGGTATTGTTTGGTTTCCACATTCTGAAGGATCATCTCTGTTAAGAATGGGAACAAATATGGACCTCTTCCAACTAGTTGGCCAGGCAGCTGCCCTCCTAATTTCCAAGTATAGGCTGATGAGCTATCCCACATGTGTTTGGTAAGTCCTTCATGTGGTCATGGGAATTGGAGGCTGCAGGAAGGAGTAGGAGTTAACCAAATGCATGTGCGATGATCAGGAAGAAGACAGCTCCAGGGAGAAGCAGCACATGATAAAAGTTTAAACTAGCTACTGGAGAGAATGAAATGGAGAAATCTGATTAAGAAAGCAATGCGAATAACCTGTACTATCACAATGGATGTGTGTGTTCATCACTGTTGGAATTCCTCTCCATTATCACTTGGCACACAGCGACAACATTATCATGTTTTACTATTATTCAAAATGAGAGAAATGAAACTAAAGTGAATAGTGGAATTGGCACTGGATTTCAAACTTTCCCGATGCAGTCCCAGAGCATAAGCTCTTGAATGATAAACTAAAGTGTGGCTGTGTAG